ACTGAATATAATGTGTTTAGCGTAATGAAATATGTTTTGTAAGCTTATCTTACAAAATCTTACAATATCTTCTGTAAGCTGTCACTGGAAGAAAGAAAGTTCCATCTTTCAATGTTTGCTTTCAAGCTTAGGAAAATATACTAAATGAATAGACAATTCAGTAATGTCCACCAGATAACTAAAATTCAAATTTTATTTTTCCATATTTAGGAGACAACCTTTTTTTTTTTCTGACAAGACTTTACTGAAAGATGACGTGCCAATGGGAACCCTGTAAGAATGTTTCGAAGAGTCGTACATGACATAGTTTAAGCGCCACTAAGTACACATTGAATACTTTGTAAGTATATAGGCATATCAACATGCAAGTGTCATGTACCTAATATTACAATATGCATTTTGTTGTTTGATAATGTTAATGACAAGAGTAAATCCAATAATTGTGTTTCTCTATTTTCTGTGCGATTGGGTTAATTGTGGTATATATTTTTAAAGCACAGAATTTGATTTTGATGTTGTTATAAATATACCCTTCCAAAAGTTATGAATTTCATGTCCGATAAATAGAACATTTTATATTTGAAGCTACATTACCGGGAACATCTGCATTTCTGGGTACCATTTGAGAGATAAGTCTTTAAATTCTTTTTAACATGGTAGAGGTCTAATGTTGGTTATGTTGAAACATGTATGATAAAAATGGAGCTTTCTTGAGGGAATAATTTTTGGTTGAATGAAAAGCTAAACAACCAATTTACAAATACTGATGTAAACTCTACGTGAAGAAAACAGGTCATTTATCCCAAACTCACGAATCCTTGGGTTATGACTTAACTACATCATTGAATCTACAATAAGTATAGCAGGTACAGTTAAATACATTTGTAAAAAGATTAGAATTTTATACACTTAGAAGGAGAAAAAGTACTAGTGCCGAACTTTTTCTAAATTATTTTTTTCTATTGATGAGATTCATCCAATACATTAAAAACACAGAGAAAAGCAAAGAGGTTAACGATAGAACAATTCGGTTTACACTTCATAGGTTTTCTTTTGACGAATGGGTGACCACTGCTTTCAACCATCGATATTTTATTGCGTATGACTTTCACTATCAGCAAATATAAAGAGAAACGTGTCTACTAGCATCTTGTACAAGGAAACGCATCTAAAGAAAGAAAGCATTTGAGGTTTGACAGTACTGTGTGTAGAAGGGTAGTGTTGCATTTCATACTGCACTTAAAAGTCCATGTGGGAGTCACTCCTGCTTTGACCCTGGATGTGGGAAAAGTGCTTAAGTGCTGAGCCCTGGTAGGTTTTTCTTTTGCCCCTGCAATCTTCAAATATCTTTTAACTTTTCTTCTTTTGAAATGTACATTATTATACTTCATAGGGGAAAATAGTGTATTTTTCTTTACATCTGTTGCACATTGGGCCCATTCTCTCCAAAATAATAATACATTTCTTGTTTTTATATATATGGACAAGATGGTAATGATCAGACCAAATATTTCTCGTAACATAAACACAGAACATAGAAACATCTTATTTTACCTTTAAGCGTATTTTATAGATTCACCATAATTATTTGAGATATTCATGTATCTTTTGCCCTGGAGGAAAATCTGCCCATCGAATGTCATTTTCTTTTAGGATAATGAAATTACATCACTGAAAAATTCTTATTATGTGTATGCAGACCAAATAAAGTGGGCATTTGTGGCAATACTTTGCATTATTTGAAAATCATTTGTGAATAAAGATGGAGTTTTGAAATGCTTAAATTTTTTGTCTTGTATAGTAACACTTGTCAGTAAAATAACGCATATAAATGACTTTCTTTAATACTTAAAACACATAATGAAATTATAAGACATTATTACATTTTCAAAATTAAATAATCAGGTTGGATCGCAAAGTGTTGCCATTTAAATCATTTTTAAATCAACACAATTATATATTACATTGTAGGATTAAATAGGCATGAGAACTATTTTTATCGAGTTATATTTCACTTATAGGGTAAGTTAATGATAGAAAAAGAAAAACAAATGCAGATTCATACACCATAGAACACACTAAAGAACTTGGCTTTTGAGATTTCCCAGGGGACGGGGAGTGCACTGTTACAATAGTCCCTTAAGAATATTTCCTGGGATATCTTCTAAATAATTATTTCCTCTATTTATATTGAAGTATCATAGCCCATGTTAAAAGTGAGAGGTAGAAGGATTATTGTAAGTATGCATGGCAGAGAACTTACCAGCTATATCCAATAACTATTGCATTCAATATTAATAATCTCAATACATAAAAATGCTGATGATTTTAGAACCCATTCTCGTATGTTGTCCCCTTTCATCCCTCTTTATTATCTTCCTACTTTCAATCCATTGCCTTTGGAAGGGTATAAGTGCAAAGGGTTTGTTTGGGGTAGATTATAGAAAGGGAAAAATGAATAGAAAAAAAGATTTTAAAAATTCTATTAAGATACAATGACTTAATTACTAAAGGTAATACCCTATATTCTTTCATGGACTAAATTTGTACTTAGAATAAAAACCTGCCATCTACAAAAACATGTGTGTATTTCAAAGAAAGTTTAAGAATTCAAATTCAACTAGAATATGAATCGAAAAATAAAATTCAGGTTATTTCTTTTTCTGCAGTAACATGAAAAAATAACCTACATTATAATTTTAGTATTTCACTTTAAGGTCTATGAAAAACATAGCTTGAATTAATTGTATTTTTACCTAATGTTTTAGTATGTAAGAGGTGAAGATTAGCAACCTCTTGGATCTTGTAAAATTCTTTAAAATCCCTTTGCAGTAAGTATCCAGCAATAGAATTGCAGATATTGCACTGAGTATATTTCAATATTGCCAGTGTATATTTCAAAACAAATTCTATTATCTACACTAAAATTTCCTCTTTCCCAATATTCAAAATGCATATTATAATTACATGGGTTTCCAACATCCATACACAGCAAGTACAAGATACTTACATGTACATACACTGTAGTTACCTATGTTTGCATAGTTTTTAGTGTGTACTTTGTGCCACTTAATAAAAGCATTACTCAGCAGTAATTCTCATTAGGTGTTTCATTCGTTTTAGCTGTGATTCCGGGGATTTTTTTGTCTGTTGGTTTTGTATAGCATCACAGGCTACATTTGCAAAGGGAGAGCTCATTGTGCATTTTTAGAAGACTCTAAGTAATTAACAACATCATGGGGGAAGTTGCATGATATGAGGTTTTGCATTTTCTTCACAATTAGAAAACCATGTGAAATTTCATATTTGTCTTCCATTTAATTATCCTTAATGTGCAAAAAAAAAAAAAAAAAGCAAGAAAAAAGAAAACAACATTACATGTTCCCCTTGGTAACACTTTGCAATAAGTGGCACTAAATTACACGATAACTGCTATGTTACATGGAAGAGCCATCACTGTCAAACAGCTGCTGTACATGTGCCTATATGGAATCTCAATGCTGTTACAGTCATGAGCACATAATTACAAATGAGCCTGTCCTTTTAGCTGAGATATTTATATTTTTACAAAGAAATAAACATAAATGAGGTGTTAGCTTCTTTGCCATATTTAGGAAGGTTAGTTTTCTTTCTCTATTATTTTAATTGTGGGGTTGGGTATCAATGAAAGATTAAGCATCTTGAATTAATGTGAGATCATCCAGTTTCTAGATTAAACTCCAATATCTGGTTCCTTAAACTGCTTCTTGGATTTTCTGGTAAAAGAAAACACGTCGAATCTGTCTCTTTCTCTCTCTTCCTCTCTTATACATAAACACAGACACACACACCACAAACACATGCACATCCTCAAGACTCAGGTCATGCTCTCTGTCTTGACTCTTGCACTCGCAAACTGTTCTTTTCTTCCTTATTTTGATAGTCATTCTATCTGGGACACTCAAGATGGGGAAAAAAGAGCAAAGAATAATGCTGTTTGCACTATTTTTTTTTTTGATAGAGAGCAATCACTTTACACTGTAAATAATACATTGGCAGAGAATAGCTACTTTTGATAAGGAATAAAGCTCCACATTCTACTACAAGTGTGTGTGTTTGTGTGTGCACACTTCTGCCGTTGGGTTCTGTAGCTATTGTGCTCACTTAGAAGAGATAGAAATCAGCTGTACGTGCACACAGTGTGTACATTTCAAACATTACCATGGGTATGGTGCCCATATAGAAATGTCACATTATTATTTCCTGATTTTTTGGAATAGAAATGATCAGAAATTTTTATAATTTAATTACTAAGTTTGTTGAAACTTAATTTTTAAAGATAGGAAAATATAATTTTATTGCTATTTTTTTTCCAGTCATGGAAAAATGACATCTAATTCAAACCAAAGTATATTTCACTGGCAAACATTTGATTAGAGTCCACAAATTATAGTATACCAATTATTATGACTGGCCTAATAATCCAGTGTTTTATTTAGCTGAGTTTTGAAGCGTTCCAATAAGATTTGATATGACTCTGAAGGGTTAAAAGAGTCAAAAATCTTGGAATGCAACCAATTTGGGTTTCTAATTTTACAGCGCTATAAATAATGATTGAATTATTTAGGCAACAATTTAGCTGTTGGAGCCAAGTAGAATACAGATGAAATGAGGAGGGATGTAAATGCAGCATCGATGAAGAGTAGCAATTTTGTAAGTGCATCCTGAAATTAGGCTTTAAATAGTAATTGATGATGCAGTTTATACAACTTATTCTGTCATAAGAACCTTTCCATTTTGTATTAACAGGATGAATTTCGATTTGTGGAATCTTTCTAAAGATTATGCATTGAAAGATATGAACAGTTTATAAACCTATTCTAGTTTCAATGTGTCTAGTAGCACCTACCTGATTCTCTCAAACTACCATACTATAGTAACATATTATTGCATTTTTCCACAGATGGTATGGAGTGAACTGTAAAAACAAGCATGCAATCACATCAATGCAGACTTATTTCCTTAAAATGTCATACTGTATATGATTTATTATGTTAACACTCAACCACATCATAGTATTTATGTTCTGTATATTCTGAAAAAGTGCTGCTTGACCGACATCGTCCTTTTTTTCTTTTGTAGGAAATCAACAAAGTAAATGCTTCCACAATCCAAAAAATGTAAAACTTCTAACATTATTCTTAAAAGAGTTATACTTTCCTGATAAATAATCTAAGATACAGCACCCTTATCTTTCATTTGATAGTAATACACGATGTTGTACTCAACCATTCTCATTCCCCAAAAATAAATTCCAAGATATTATTTTTAAAACCTTAGGCCCTCATGCTGTCAGATAACACAAGTATAGCTACCATATTCTCGTATTTGATTTTTTCTTAAAGGTGCAATGCTTGTAAATGGGAAAATATTTTTTATCTAACTGGATTTTAATTCTGTAGCATACAATAAATCTCATGAGAACTAATCTAACAATAGTGTGTTTTACTAGAAGAAATAAGAAGACTTTAGATTGACTCTGTGTCATATTTAAGAAGACAGCATTTCTTCATGGTTAAATACACCAAAATCTTAAAATAATCCAGAGAAAGAGACTTTTACTTTGGAGTTAAAAGCATGGCAGAAATTCTCTATCACTCACTGTTTCATAAGTTTGTACCTCACAAAATGCATAGACAGGAATTGAATATAAAGAATTAGTTCATTTATACAGAAAACATATCTGAAACACTCTTTTTGGCAAACCAACATAGGTAAGCAGCTCTGGAACTGCCAAATTAAAATTTGTAAATTTTTAGCAAACTAAAAGTTTATTTTTAGATTATTATTCAACTATGGTTGTAATTTAAAACCTGAGGCTGTGCACTGGTTGTTAGTTTAAAATTACCTTTCCTTATAACATTGTGCTTCCATTGTATAACAAAAATTAACAAGAACTAGAAAAATTTGTTGTTGAACAGTGCTAGGACATACAGACAAAAATACTAATACATGTTATCTACTTATAATATTGGTTTAAGTAATATCTAAAGGGATAATAATGGACGTTAGAAAATGCTTACTTATGACTGAATTACATACAGCCAAAAAGTTAAATATGTATCAAATAATGTTTAATTGGATTTATTATATGCACTATATACAGATACTAAAATGTCTCAAAATTGTGCCCTATGGATACTTCAACTTTGTTAGGCAGGTGAGTCTTAATGGAGCAAATAAATTATAGAATCAAATTAGAGAAATGAATGAAATCTTTGTTACTCCCAAAGCAGTAAAATGTTTGGAATGATTTATTGGTAAATAAGCTACAATATTCTGATGGTAGGATCTATATAACTGTGTAAGATGTCATGTCATGGTTGCAATTCATACACATGGCTCATGTATCAGGTACTATATTTTAATAGTAAATTGATACAGCTTTACCAGTGTAATCGCAAACATTCCAAAAAACTACACTATGATTTTTTTTTCAATTTATGTTTTCTCGGGTATATGTTTCCAAAACATGTTGTCTTTGAATACAAACATGTAGAAAACATTATTTGTAAACCTCTAATCTTCAATTTAACTAAAGTACATTAGGTCTTCACTGAATCCTATTACTTGTGAAAGCTGTCCAATGACAAACTGATAAGGTCTATGACTTAAAGAAAAAAAGAATGGGGGGAGAATCTCTGCATATTTTTTTAATGTATAAAAACAACTCAATATCATGATCCAAGGAGATGATGAACATTGTTAAGGCTGTATATTCAAGCACTGTATGTTAAAAGAGCAAGGGTGTGAAATTTAGGCAGTAAGAAATGTCCTGCATATGGATGGTACAGTAATTAAAGAATGATGCTTTCAACAGCTGATTGTTGGTTTACACTGGCTACTGATAGCAGTACAGTATGGGAGTTAATAAAGGTAGCAGAAGATGGTAGAAATGAATTCTGAGAGATGATAGCCAGTTTTCTCCAGCAGCCAGCCTGGTAAGGAAAACTCAGAATCTTGGCCTGCATTTAAATGAAATACTCTTTTTTCTCTTCCGCGTTGACTTGGCTGCCTTCGGCATTGATAATGGCTGTGTCAGCGTCTGGTGCGTCTTCGGCTCCTTTAGCTTCATTTGTTAAATATGTTCCTGTGTATATTGGAAGAAAAATACATCAGCTCTGTGGAACCAGTAAGATAGCCAGCATTAAAGCTGTGTTCATTTAAGAAGGAATTTATGCCAGATTTGTCATATGTTGAAACAAGTTCTGAGATATAAGAGTCACAATTCACCCTTTTGAAGTTGCAACATTTCTTTCAGTTTTCAGGTATAAGCTACAGGTGAAGTTGTTGGTTAACTAGAAGCAAGAGCCAAATTGAAATGGTTAATGAGTAACTTCAACTTTAATGATGATGGATGAAGACCGTCTGAGCCACACTGCTGTAGCAGTCAGAGTACCTTGTTATGATATTGATAATGATCGTGTCAAAATTGTCGCCATTCATTTTGATAAATCTATTTTAAGATGGGTTGTATCAATAGTTGGTTACCCGGTTCATTTCGAAATCTTACATATTTTCCTTTCTGATATGGTTACACATGTTTCCATAAACTTACAAACAAAAACATTGGCCAAATAGTCATAGTTGGATTTCAGTTCTAGAAATAAGTTATAAACTTTTGTCTATTTTTGATTTTTTGGCCAGTGGTTCATTCTGTGACCTGTGGCCATTGGCTCAATCCAACTCTAAAGTGTAGTTGAAAAATCAAAAATTCCCTGAAACCATTTATTATGTTTCAGGGAATTATCTGATATTATTATCTCCTTCTATCTATTCACACACAGAGAGAAGCATCCATACACCCTTAGATTTCATAATGAAGCTAGTCTTTAACATTTTTAACATTTTCTTTTACCAATTTTAAGAGTAATCTAATTAAATATAACTTACCTTTATGTCTTGCCAGATACCGACCGAGCAGAAATATGGAACACAGCGTGACAAATACAACTACAGCCACTATTCCTCCTATAAGAGCGTGGTCAGGACCAGTCTGGCCAGCCAGAGCATTAGGATCTGGAAAAGAGAGAAAAATGCTCTCATCTGTGTGTTGTTTACTTATAAAATACATTATAATGGTTTTTTTTGAAAATTTGCACAATTTTATTAAAATAAATTCCCATTAACGTGTATTGCACCAATTGTGTGCCTATAGTATATGAAGTAACTGGGGATATAACATCCAAAACATCAATAACCATTGCTACTGAGCTTACATTTTCAGAGAAAGAGTAAATAAACAAATACACACATGTGATTTCCTATAGTTGTATGAATTGCCTTTCTCCTCACCTAAATCTAAAAATATACCTACATGTCAGCATACATGGGTATACATATACACTACTATACTATTATTTGGATAAAATTATTTCATGGGGAAAGCTGAGGCTGAGGATGATTATTTGAGATAGATCATTATATCAGTATTATTTAAGACTATGGAAGTTAACTCCCCAAGTGGTGTCTAGATAGAAGAAAAGATTTGAGATCTTGATCCATGACCTGCCAACTTAGCCCTGGAAGTATTGATACTGCGGATGGAGGAACTAGCTTGATATCCGGACAAATGCGGGGAGACACTGGTGCCCTGTTGTCTCCTCCACTTGCACTTCTGGCTGGTCAATTTCATGGATGGCAGCTTGCTGTCTCCACATGTGTACTCCTGACTAGTAAATTTCATGTCAGTTTCCAAGGCCTGAGAGCTCATTGAACAGCTGGCTGTAACCGAGGAGGAGGACTCATGCCCTAAGAATCAACATTGAGTTCTGTTAGAACAACACCCCTGCCACTATATAAACCCCTGAGCAGAGAGCCGGAAGACAGACATCTAAGAGGGAGCAGGAGAGCTTGTTCCCCTCCTGGGTTCTCTCTGCCAGGAGGTTTGGTTTTTTATAGTTGTTGTAATTTTTGTTCCTTGAATAAATCCTGACTTACTACTGATCCTGTGGTCTGTTGATTTGAACGGAGACTAAGAACCTGAAAATCTGGTATCAGTCTGACCACTGGAGAACTCCCAAATTTAAAGACCATAAAAAAGGATGCATTTGCAATAGAGCAGACTGAAAAGTGGAGAATTGTATGGTAGGAATAGATCCTGAAGAGGACAGTGTAGTTAATTAAAGGGAAGAATGTGTTTAATGGGCAGGGAGGATTGCAATTCTGGTCCATGTTATTAATAGAAGACTAATGCCCAGCACTGAGGAGTAAGAGCCTGTGGAACTTGTATTTCTAGAAAAAGGGGTTGGAAAGAGAGAAATTTAATGATTTACTTTGACATTCTGCCTTTAATAAGATATTATAGGAAAGAGATCATCCCCAGAAAAGGATTGACAGTTTTTCAAGTATAAATGAAAAGATCATAAGAAAGCTCAGACATATGATACTCAAAAGTTTGGAAAATTAGCCATTTATAGAAGTCACATAGTAAGGGATAAAAACGAACGGAGCTTCAAGCAACAAAATTCACTAAGTCTCAGCCCCATGGCAAAGATCAGATTGAGTGTACTGCCTACTCTCCAAGTTCATTACTGGGGACAGTTTCAGCGTAACTGTTTATAATTTAAAGGAGGGATTTAAGCTGGAAAGAAGGTACAGAAATTAATTAAGCCTGGTAATTATGCTTTCTAAAACTAGAGTGGGATTATAAGAAAATGAATGTGACAAACAGATTAAGAGCCTAATATGTTTTTAGAGCAGTGGTTCTTAACCTTCTTAATACCGCAAACCTTTAATGCAGTCCAAAGAGGTCGCCACCCACAGGTTGAAAACTGCTGTTTTAGAGGAACTGTTGTGTTGAAGAATCATATTTTGGGATAGAAAAACATGTCTGACTGAACCTTCGAATTTCCTCCAGACCCCTAAATTATGTGAAAGTAGGAGTGGGGTATAAGAGCTGTGTAGCCTGGTGCAAGACATAGTATTCAACACCTACTTCAGATGGGGTAATGAAGTTTAACTGACAAGGTGGAACTTTCCAGATGGTAGAATTGGGAGCAGGGAGGGGAGAATCCAGTTCCTTCAGGGAACCACAACTATTGCCCAAGACACAGGGAGCTTTTCCTGCCAGTCTGACAGGATTTCAGTTTCTATGGATCAGTGACTAATCTATGGCTCTCATTCTTTCTTTCTTTTTTTTTTTTTAATTTCTTATATCATAACTATGTACATTAATGCAGTCATGGGGTACAGTGTGCTGTTTTCATATACATTTTGAAATACTCTCATCAAACTGGTTAACATAACCTTCATGTCATTTTCTTAGTTATTGAGTTAAGATATTCATACTCTGCTTTTAGAAAGATTCACTTGTACCCTTGTAAGATAAACCATAGAGGTGACCCCACCAATCACCTTCCCTCCCCCACCCACCCACCTCGTCTCCCCTCTCCCCCCCTTCCCATATTCTAGGGCTATAATTAGGTTATGACATTCCTATAAAAGCTATAAATTAGTTTCAAAATAGGGCTGTGTCAATTGGATACTTTTTCTTCCATTCTTGAGATACTTTACGAGAAGAACATTTTCTAATTCCATCCATATAAACATGAAGAAGGTAAAATCTCCATCTTTCTTTAGGGCTGCATAGTATTCCATGGTGTACATGTACCACTATTTATTGATCCATTTGTGGGTTGATGGGCATTTAGGCTTCTTCCATGACCTAGCAATTATGAATTGGGCTGCAATAAACATTCTGATACAAATATCTTTGTTGTAATTCGATTTTGGTTCTTCTGGATATATACCTAATAAAGGACCAAATGGCAGGTTTATTTTTAGTTCTCTCAGTGTTCTCCAGATGTCTTTCCAAAAGGAATGAATTAATTTGCATTCCCACCAGCAGTGCAGAAGTGTTCCCTTTTCTTCACATCCATGCGAACATCTCTGGTTTTGAGATTTTGTGATATGGGTTAATATGGGGTTAGGTGGTACCTCAAAGTGGTTTTGATTTGCATTTCTCTGATGATTAAGGATGGAGAGCATTTTTTTCATATATCTGTAGGCCATGCGCATCTCTTCTTTAGAGAAATTTCTATTCAAGTCCCTTGCCCACCCTGAGATGGGATCGCTTGTTTTTTCTTTGTCAATACGTTTGAGTTCTCTGTGGATTCTTATTATTAAACCTTTGTCAGAGACATAACTAGCAAATATCTTTTCCCATTCTGAGGGCTGTCTACCTGCTTTATTTACTGTGTTCTTGGCTGTGTAGAAACTTTTTAGTTTGATCAGGTCCCAAAAGTGTATTTTTGACATTGTTTCAATTGCCCGAGGGGTCCTCCTCATAAAATTTTCACCGAAGCCAATTTCTTCAAGTGTTTTCCCTACGCTTTCTTCTAGTATTTTCATAGTTTCATGTCTTCCTCCTTTATTTCTAAACATGAGCATATATTGTTAGGAGTTCTCTCTTTCTGTTCTATCAGTATGTATTGTACTTGAGGTGGAGAGGGACATTAGTTACCTTGTATTGTGTTCCCCCAACCCTGGCCTAATAAACCTAGTTATGATGAAGAAGATCGCACACATCTGAGGGTACTGGGCTTTGAGTTGGATACCCTGGGTTGATCAGACTTTAGGTTGTCTCTCCATACCAGGTGGTAGTAGATGATATTAGGGGAAAGAGGTAGAGAAAACATTTGGTGCTCAGAAGGGCGTGCTAAGGTAGAGACTACAAAGACATTTCCCATGTGTTCAGTGCTCAGAGATGGGTATTTTTCAGCCTCCGTTCTATATAAGTGTAACAATGTGATTTGTGTTCTAGATAAATGAATGAAGGGCCAGGTAATTAAAGCCTCCCACAAATCTCTCTGCGGGATTCTGGTAGATACAATTGAAGATAAGACAGCAACAGGAATAAGTAAAGATATTGGTCACTAAATAGCTACTGGACAAGAATTGTCCATCCAAGAATACATGCATTAAAATGCATGGGAGAAAAATAAAACAAAAAACAAAGTCTTTATTTTTAAACCACTGATCATCAAAAATTAACTTTTGTTACAGCAGCTAGTTTTAATTCATAATGTCTTATGTTTTCCTAAATGTCTGTTTATTGCCCATAAATCTTGAAAAATGGAGAGAAAATAAACCTCTCATCTCTCTGATATTTTCTGTTCCTATTCTTTGCTCGATATTTTGGAATCTATTCAAAAATCCCATCCCTGGCTTGATTTCCTAGATACAGAGTGTCATAAATCACACCCATTTTATTTGATGCATATCTTCCATAACTGAGCACTCTTTGGGGGAACTTAGAAATCACTCTTTCTTACATCTCTGTTCCTGTCTTATTTCCTGCAGATAAATTCTGGGAAATAGTAGTGTTGGAGAAGAGGATAGAAATGTTTTAGAAAGACTTTTGATATATATTGCTAAAGTACAGTGCAGAAAGATTGTGCAAATTCACCCTTCATTAATTTCATAAAGGATTTTTTTCCCACCTATCAGTATAACATCAGACATTACAATTAAAAAAAAATTGCCAATCAGATGTGAAAAAATGTCATCTCAATTTGAATATTTTGGATTCATTAAATTACAGGTTAGGATATTAATGTCTAAATATTTTTGGTCACATTACTTCATTAACTTTTAAATTCCTGTCTGTGGAATTTGTTCCTTTTTCCTCTCGAATATTCTGTTTTAATAACTCTTTTCATAGAGAGATTAACAGTTGTAGCAATAACTTTTTATTCTTCATCTGTGGTGTTTTTAGCTATAGGTAAGTCTTATCATTTTGTGGAATTAAATCTATCAAACTGTTCTGACACCTGGCTTGTGGGTCATGCGGTGAAACATTTTGCCATGGTGATATCTTGTGCATATAAAGCTATATTGCCACCTAACCCTTTAAATTATTATATTTCTATGCATTTAAAATGTATTTTGGTCTATAAAAGATAAAATTAAGTATTTCCTTTTTGATAGCTAGTTTTTTCCCTCAAAATTTCTTTTTCAATAATTTTATATAAGCTACCATGAATAAATGTGTATATCCTAGATGTGTTTTTACATAT